TTTTTTTTTTTTTTTTTTTGGTGCCGGGGATCGAACTCGGTACTTGTGCTTGTGAGGCAGGTGGCAGAACCACTGAGGGAAATCCCTGGCCCAGGAGATGACTTTTGACAAGTCTGGCTAAGAGATGAGTGGGGCTAGGCAGGGTGAAGATTATTACAGCTGTAATTTATTGAGTACCTAATATTTTAGGGTCAGTTACTTACAGGTTCTCATTTTTTCTACATCCCTGTGAAGTTTTTGCTTTATAATAATCTGTGTTTTGCAAATTATCTCTGTGCCCCAGGAGCATGCATTTATAGCACTGGTTTTTCAGATAAAGAGGGTTTGGTCCCCAAAAAACATTTGATGATATTGGAGGCCATTTTAGTTGTCATAACTGTGGCCAAGGACAGTTATTACTGGCTAAACATTATACAGTGCTCACACATTCCCCCCAACAGTGGGTTATCTGCCCTAAATGTCAGTAGTGCCAAGCTTGAGCAACCCTGATTAGAGCAGTGAGATCCTATAGAAATGTAACACAGGTCAAATATATCATTTGACATTTTTTTTTTTGGTACTAGGGATCAAACTCAGGACCTTGAGCTTGGCAGGCAGGCGTGGTGCCATTGAACTAAATCCCTGGCCCTCGTTTGAGACTTTTAAGTAGCCACATTATAAAAAGTGAAAGGAAACAGGTGAAATTAACTTTAGTAATATAGTTTACCCTAGCATATAACAGTTTATTCAACATGAAATCAATATGAAATATGAGTGAAATATTTGACTTTCTTTTCATATTAAGCCCTCTGAATCTGGTATGTATTTTACACTTATAGCAAACCTCAATTCAGATGCTAAATTTTCATTGGAAATACTTGATTTAGGGGCTAGTGATGTAACTTGCGTAGAGGACTTGCTTAACCTGTGCAAGGCCCTGCGTTTGATCTCCAGCACTGCAAGAAAAAAGAATAAAGACGGGGAGTTAGCTCAGTGGTTTCATTGCCTGCTGCGCAAGCACAAGGACCTGAGTTCAATCCCTGGTACCAAAAAAAAAAAGAAATACAACCAAGGTTTGCATTTAAATTTCATAAGATTGGGGAAAAAAGGTTGATATACCTAAGTTGTTCCAATCATATTTTAAAATTTGCCAATAACTAAATCGATGATTGGATCAAAATTAAATAAAAAATCAGTACTTCAGCCCCATTTGCCACCTTTCAAGTGCTCAGCCACCACATGTAGCCAGAGGCCACAGTATTGTACAGGGCAGATCACAGAGGAAAGAGCACATGTTGGTTAGATTGTCATACAAATGCCATTTTACCTGTGATGTATTCTGTAATATGGTTCTATGGACTCATGTAACTGGAAGATGTATAACCTGCTTGGAAAGTCAGAAAAGCTCTGAAGAAAGAATAGTAATTTTTTGGGGGGTGGGGACAAGTATTCCAGGCAGAGGGAATAGCCTGTGCAAAGGCTCTGTATTGGAAAGAGCCATACTTCTTTTTTTTTTTAAAGCAGGTTTATCATAATATAACTCCTTATTTTCAGACAGGGTCTTGAGCTAAGTTGTTCAAGCTGGGCTTGAACTTGCTGCTAGAACATTTTTATCACTTCGAAAGTAACCTCATGCTATTCACCATTGTCCCTCAGTCTCACCATTCCCAGGCCTACTCCTCCCCTCTAGACACCAATCTTTTTTTGTTGTTGTTGTTACTGGGGATTGAACTCAGGGCCTTGGGCTTGCGAGGCAGCTGCAGTGGCACTGAGCTAAATCCCCAGCCCACCAATCTCTTCTGACTCTGGATCTGCCTCCTCTGGAGTCATTCGATTATGTGATATATGGTCCCTCATGACTGGCTTCTTTTGTGTAATATGATGTTTGTAAGTTTCCTCCTTATTGTAGCACTCGGTAATAGTTTGTTTCATTTATTGCCAAGGGATACTTCATCGTAAGATCTGTAAAAAAGAGATAGGGCCAGGGATTTAGCTCAGTGGTTCCGCGCCCGCCTCGCAAGTCCAAGGTCCTGAGTTCGATCCCCAGTACCAAAAAAAAAAAGAGATAGTGAGGGCCAGGGATTTAGTGTAGTGGTTCTGTTGCCTGCCTCGCAAGCGCAAGGTACGGAGTTCGATCCCCGGTACCAAAAAATAATAAGATAAAATAAAAAAGAGATAGTGAGATCTTGTCTCAAAATAAAAAAAAAATAATAATAATAGGGCTAGGGGTGTAGCTCAGCAAAAAGGCCCTGGGTTCAATCCCTATTGTGACCAAAACAAACAAAAAACTGTAGAAAAGGGTGGATCAAGATCTGAGGACAAGGGCCGGGGATTTAGCTCACCTGCCTGGCAAGCGCAAGGTCCTGAATTTGATCCCCAGTACAAAAAAAAAAAAAATCAGGACAGTGCGGTGTGGCTGCCACACAAAGCCAGCCTGGGTTGGTTGGGTGAAGCTGGTTGTGAAGGTGGCAGAGGGTTTAGGCTTCAAGGATTTATGGCTCTGTCCTGAGCCAAGGGAGGGTTTGGGACAGGGATGAGAAAGTAGACACACAGGTAGCAAGCAGGGCGTTGAACCTAGGTCCTGGTGACTCCAAAGCCCCACTGTGACTTAAAGACCACTAACACCGAGGGAAGGGCTGGCTGACCAGGTTACTGTCTGCTGGACACCACTTTCCATATCTGGCCCTGTGTAATCCCCAGAAATCCCCAACTCAGATGGAAAACCAAGGCCTGAGAGAGCTAGATATCCCTCCTGAGACCTCCTGCTCCTAACACATTGCCTGGTTCCCTCTTTTAATCCATACAAGCACCTTCTAAGGTGCGGACAGTTAAGACCTTGGTGGTACCTAGGGGGACACAAAGGCAAGAGGCAGCTGAGACCCATCCTAGGGACAGAGGGATAGCAGCAGGGAGCTTTTAGAGCGCCCCCCTGCAGGCTGGATATGGATTAACTTGTGATCTTCACCATGGCATTTTGTTTGAGACAGGATCTCGGTTTATAGTTCACACTGGCCTTGAACTCACTATGTAGCCCAGATTGGCTCTGTCTCAGCCTCCCAAAATGATGGCCCTTTGAGACATGTTCTGTTAATGCTCTTTCTTATAGAGATGAGGAAACTGAGGCACAGAGAGGAGAAATCTCATGCCTGGGATCACTCAGCTAGTGAGCCAAGGACCTTTGAATTGAACCATCATTCGAATTTCTTTGGAAATGGGGGTGGGAGTGAACATACTGGGGGTCTGTGGCTTTGTCACCTTGGACCCTCCGCCTCCCACCCTCCACAGGTGAAGCTGTGTGACTTTGGCTTCGCGCGCATCATTGGCGAGAAGTCCTTCCGGCGCTCAGTAGTGGGCACGCCTGCCTACCTGGCACCCGAGGTGCTGCTCAACCAGGGGTACAATCGCTCGCTGGATATGTGGTCTGTAGGTGTGATCATGTACGTCAGCCTCAGTGGCACGTTTCCCTTCAACGAGGATGAGGACATCAGCGACCAGATCCAGAACGCAGCCTTCATGTACCCCTCCAGCCCCTGGAGCCACATCTCGGCTGGAGGTCAGCTGCCATGGGCGGGGCCATGAGGGTGGGCCCTGGATCTGCAGGCACCTTAGGGATGGGGGCTAGTGATGGGCAGGGGCACAGGAGGGGCCAGCTTGTGCTTGGGCTGAGACTCAGACCTGAAGGGAACCTAGGCCTGGAGGCTCAGGTTTGGGCCAGGCTCTGAGAGTTGGAAAGGAGATGGGATGGAAGTGTTCAGGCATCTGAAACCCTGGGGGCTGGGTGAGAATCAGCCAGCTAGGGTAGGACTCAGAGAGGGATGGGACCCAAGGGGGTGTCCCCCCGCCCCTCCCCACTATGGTGGTCAGATAAGAGGTAGGTCCTCCCAGGCAGTGGCTGGAGCCTAGGCCGAGGCCATGGGCACAGGAGCCCGCCCAGGGGCATGGCCATGGAGGCTGGCTGAGAGGCCCATGAAAAGGCCAAGTCCTGAGGCCTGGGACCCAAGAGCAGCTGGGAGGTGAGAGGAGAGGAGAGCTGGGCCGGGGTAGACACTGAGGTCTCTGCATCAGGCACTTTGGTGTCAGTCACACAACTGTGGCACTAGGTCTCAAGCCACAAGCCTGTTGCCTTGGGGATGGGCCTGGAAGATTAAGTCCTGAGGCCAGGAGCTTTGCAGCCAGGTGTGGGAGTGGGAACATTGCTAGGAGGGGAGGCAGGCAGTTGGCAAACATAGAGTGGTTACTTTTTTTTTTTTCTTGGTACCAGGGATTGAACTCAGGACCTTGTGGTTGCCAGGCAGTTGAGGTGCCACTGAGCTAAGCCCCCGCCCCCCAGAGGCAGGGAGTTGGGTCAAAGAGCCCTAAGAATAAGGGAAGGAACCTGGAACAGAGAGCTCAGGTAGATGGAGAATGGAAGGGAGGTTAGGGAGATGGTCACTGACTCATCCATGACAGTTCATTCAGCGGGTGCATGTTGAGTGGCTACTGTGCCTGGCTCTGAGCACCCTGGGCTCTGGGAATGCCATGATGTGCTGGACAGAGCCATCCTGTGGGTAGAAGCTGGCATTGGTCTGTGAAGAGTGGGTGGGAAAGGACCCTGAGGGGATGGCCTCATGCAGCAGGCTGGGGCCAGTTAGTGCTGAGGAGCATGTGGCTGACTTGAGTCCTGGAATACTGTTGGGCATCCTCAGGGTTGGTTTTCAGAATTTGCTCCATAAAAGTGCATTGAGTGTGCACTATGGGTGAAAGTAAGCGTTGGTGGGTGTGTATGGTGCCTGAAGGTGTTGACCTGGGCAGGGTGCCAGTGTGCACAAGGTCTAAACAGTCACCCTCTGTATCCACGGGGCCCCCATTCACAGGTTCAGCCGATTCAGATTGCAAATATTTAAGGAAAGGATTGCATTTGTACTGAACACGTACAGACTTTTTAATTTTTTCTTTGTCATTCCCTAAACTATACAGCACAATGACTATTTACACAGCATTTACATTGTGTTGCTATTATAATTGATCTAGAGTTCACTGAAGGTGTATAGGAGGATGGGTGTAGGTTCTGTGCAGAGACTGCCTTTTTATGTAGGGGACTTGAGCATCTTTGGAGTTTGGTGTCTGTGGGGGCCTTGATTGTTTTGAGACTGGGTCTTGCTAAATCGCAAAATTTCTCAGATGGCCTCCAGCTCATGATCCTCCTGCCTCAGCCTCCTGAGTATTGGGATTATAGACTGCGCTGCTACACACCCATGGTGAAAATTCATGTTCATTTTGTCTGCTGTTCTTTCCAAAGGCAATGGCATTACCAGGCTCCTGTTTCTCTCCCAGGAGAGATTTTTGTATTGTATTCTTTCATTTTTGTCTTCTTTTTCTTTCTTTCCAGCAGTACCTTGGTTCGTGAACTTAATTCTTTCCATGATTCTGGTTGTAGAATTCATTCCACAATTCTAGTACACACACACACACACACACACACATATTTATTCTATATACTATATTCTGTGTATTCTTTTTTTGGTACCGGGGATTGAATTTGGGTCCTTGCGCTTGCGCAGCAGGTGGCGAAACCACTGTGAGCTAAATCCCTGGCCCTTGTGTATTCTTTTATTTTCTCCTTTTGCTGGGTAAATTTTCCCCTTGAAGTGAGCTGGGTGTGGTGGCACACGCCTGTAATCCCAGAACTCTGAGAAGCTAAGGCAAGAGGATTACAAGTTCAAGCCTATCCTGGGTAATTTAGCCACTTAGTGAGGCCCTGCCTAAAAAGAAAAAAAAGGGCCAGGGACGTGGCTCAGTGCAAGGCCCTAGGTTCAATCACCAGCACCGGCTGGGGAGATTTTGAAGGCGATATAGGAATGGGAACCTGAAGTAGAGAATCTGTGAGGACAAATAGGAACCAGTATGACTACTTGGAGACCAATTTCCAATTTCATGAGAAAATCACCATGCCAGGTATGTGGCAGCTAGTGCAGAAACAGGTCTGGAGGGTGGGCAGTGGGCGGGGGTGGCTTTCTGGAAGAGGCAGCCACTCACTCAGAAGGGCTTGAACTGTCTCTCCCCTGTGCAGCCATTGACCTCATCAACAACCTGCTACAAGTCAAGATGCGCAAGCGCTACAGCGTGGACAAGTCTCTCAGCCACCCCTGGTTACAGGTGACGGGGCGGGGCTGACGGGCTGGCTGGACAGGAGAAAGGGGAGAGGTAGATCTCTTATTGGCCAGCCACCTAAGGATGTTCCTTGGATGGGGAACATAGCCGAGCCCCCCATTGGCTGGTCTGTGGAAGGGGTGGGGCTAGTTACCTATTGGCTAGACAGGTTGCCAAGGGTTGTGGCTTCATCTTCATGGGTACCCAGCAGTTCACTGGAAGAGCAGAACACATCCGTACTTCTCTGGCCCCTGCTGTCTGCCCTCTGTGCAGACCCCCAGCTCACCACAGTTCTCCTGGTCCAGGAGTACCAGACATGGCTGGACCTCCGAGAGCTGGAGGGGAAGATGGGCGAGCGGTACATCACCCACGAGAGTGACGATGCGCGGTGGGAGCAGTTCGTGGCAGAGCATCCACTGCCGGGCCCTGGACTGCCCACCCACGGGGAGCTTGCCAGGGCCCCTTTGCCACAGGACCATGAGATGCAGGGCCTGGCTGAGCGCATCAGCCTCCTCTGAGCCTGGTGCCCCACCCACCTGTTGTCCTCCACAACATCCCAGCAATGAACTGTTCTGGGGGCTTTAGGGGAGTTTTTTCTTATTCCCCAAGTTCCCTCCCTGTCTCCCCAACAATTAAAACGGACTTGTCTCTGGCCCCTCGGCCTTGGTCTCTGGCTGTACCACACTCCTGTCAGTAGTCAGTGTTCACAAGATGGAACTCCCTGCAAGTGGGCTGCCTGCAAAGAGGTGTGGATGGAGTAGGACAGGAGTGGGAGGGAGCTGGGGACAGGGGCTTGGGAAAGGAGGAGAGACCGGGTGAGAGTAGAGCAGAGAGGAAGGAGTAAAGGAGGGCTGGCTGGAGGATGGGAGAGAAACAGGATGGGGGGTGGGGGGCTTGGAGGAAAGCAGGTTAGGAGGTTCTCCTGTGGGGCTGATAACCAGATAACTCATCACAAGTCAGAAATGCATTTTTTTTGGTACTGGGGATCAAACTTGGGTCCCTCCGCTTGCAAGGCAGGAGGCGGAACCACTGAGCTAAATCCCTGGCCCCAGGAATGCATTTAATCCACCTAACCTACCAAGTGCTGCTTAGCACCTTGGGGTGCCTGCCATACACTGTGGAGTTTCTCTTGTTTCCCCTTGTGATCTCACAGTTGATTGAGCTCTGCTTCTGCCACTGCTGAGCACTGAAGAATCTTGGGCCTAATAGCACTACCCTGGGAAAAGAACAAAATTCAAAGTATGGTTTCTATTGATTTTTTTTTTTTTTTGTGGTACTGAGGATTGAACCGGGGCCTCTACACTGAACCACATCTCCAGTGCCCCCACCCCCAAATTTGAGACACGGTCTTACAGAGTTGCCCAGGTGGGGCTTGAACTTGGAATCCTCCTGCCTTGGCCTCCCAAATAACTGGGAATACAGGCATGCACCACTGCACCATCCAGCTTCTGATTATTTTTGTTATGACTAATCTGAATTAATAACAATTCAGCACAATTCTGACCCATAGTGGAAACCTGATATGTAATATTTTGTAGGGTTTTTGTTATTTTTGTTTTTGGTGATGCTGGGGGTGCAGCCCAGAGCCTCACACATGCTAGGCAAGCGCCCTGCCACTGAGCTACACCCCAGCCCAATGTTTTCTCTTAGAGTCTTTTTTTCCCCTTTGGTACTGGGGATCGAACTCTTGCACTTGTGAGGCAGGAGCCAATGTTTTATATTGCTGTGAGGACTTCTCTACACACTGGATATGCTCGTTCATTTATCATGTGTCACACTGTGCCTGGGTGCTGCTGGGGACACAGTGGTGACCACGATGGCCTGGGTCCTGCCTTTGTGGCACTCACTGTTGGGTGCTGAGATGGACCCATCCTTGGACAGGGTTGGGCTGCTGAGCCCAAGAGGTTGGGGGTGATGGTGTTTGAGTTGACTTCTCAAGCTTCCTATCCACCCTGAGGCTGTGGGCGGAGGAAATGGCCTGGAGGGAAGGTGTTCAGTTCACCTCTTTCACTCTGGAGCCCAGCCCTCCAGCTCTCCAATTCCCATCGCCACCCTGACTTTGTCCGCCATGGTTGAGAGCAAGCAATCTCAGCAGGTACCTGAACTTGTTCTCTTTAAGTCCGGCACAGACTTATGCGCTGTACTTTAACACTCACCAGAGCCCTGTAAAAACAGAATTTAGCAGCCAGTTGCAGCGAGGACTGGAATTTCCAGGCATTTACCCATTCACAGCGGATTGTCCACCTGCTGGTGGGTTCTGGAGCTACAGCTCTGAATTGAAAATACTGTGGGTGCCTCCGCAGTAAAGGAGGACGTCCCGGATGGGCTGGAAGCCACAGGCGCAGTCAGAGCTAATCCTGTTGGAGAAGGTCTCAGATCCATGCCTGTCCTTCCAAAGTGGGTTGCTAGAGTCCAGGAGTGTGGACAGCACAGGAAGACTCCATCTCCAGTGACAGATGCTGGCTGGAAAATGTGTGGAGAAGCTGCTTAGGCCAGGTCCCTGACACACTACTCCTGTGTTAGCCACTAGTTTTAGCATCCTGAGACCAGGACATACAGACATGGTTTAAAAATTAAATTTATTTATTTATTTGAGACAGGGTCTCACTCTGTAGTTCAGGCTGGCCTTGAACTCACTATGTAGCCCAGGCTGGCCTCAAACTCATGATGATCTTCCTGCCTTAACCTCCCAGAGTTCTGAGATTACAGGGATGACTAGCCCCCAAAAAACCAAATATCAGTGTTAACCATCAAAATGCCTCCCTCACAGAATTCCAGGATGCCCAATATCATGAGTTTGCCATGGAAGATAAAATCATATTCACACTATGCAAATTTCGAAGATGGAGATTGAAACCAGAGCCTTCCCACTAAATTACATCGCCAGATCTTTTTTTTTACTTTTTATTTTGAAACAAAGTCTCACTAAGTTGCCTATCCTGGGCTTGAATTTGCTATCCCCCTGCCTCGGCCTCCCAGGGTGTTGGGATTCCAGGTGTGTGCCATCATGTCTGGCTCATGAACTTGTCCTTGAAGGTAAACCCTTATCCACAGAATGCATTTACACCATTATTAACTTTCCTTTCTTCAAGACTGAAAGGCAGCTCCAGCAGATGGTGGACTGTCATGTGTACAATCCCGCCCCCCCCAAGATATGTTGAAGTCCTAGTTCCCGGACCTCAGGATGTGACCTGTTTGGAAGCAGGGTTGTTGCAGAGCAGATCTGTGGAGGTGAGGTCACCCTGGAGGAGGATGGGTCCCGAATCTAACATACCTGGGGTCCCTGTAAGACAGTGGCCACGTGGAGACAGACACGGGGAGAAGGCCAATGACAACAAAGGGACCATGCGGCTGTGTGACAAGGAACTCAGAAGACTGCCAGCCAACCAGCAGGAACTAGGGAGAGGCAGGAAGGATTCCTCGACAGTTTTCAGGTGGCACTGCCGCTGCCAACACATTAATTTCAGACTTCTGTTTGTATGTTTATTTTCTGTGGTTCTGAGGATTGAGCTTTGGGGCTCACATATGCTAGGCAAGCGCTCTACCCAGTGAGCTACATCCCTAGCCTTTTAAAATTTCTTTACTTTAAGACAGAATCTTCTTGCTAAGTTGCCCATGATGGGCTCAATTTTTTTTTCTGGTACTGGGGATCACAAGGCAGGTGCGGTGCCACTGAGCTAAATCCGCAGCCCTGTATATATAATTTTTGTTAGGGATTGACAGAAGCAACTCCATTTTGATTCTGAGAATGTTCACAAGGCAGTTCCCTAGCTAATGGATACACAGCACTTGCTTCCTCTCAACGTCTCCCCATCATACCTTGATTTACTTCCTTGTCTACTCCATCCCCCATCAGACACTCTGCTAGAAGAACTCAAAATCTCATAATCTGAGGTCTCTGACATTGCAAAAGTCAGTTGGAAGCTGGATGTTTTACCTACTGAGATAAGATCTGGAGATACCTTGAATTAAGTACATTTAAGTCAGCTTTTCGCCATGTTTGAGCAATGTTTGTATTTAAGGCACTGTTGTCCTGGCTACCCAAGAAATCTACAAGGCTGGAGGTGTAGCACAGTGGCAGCATGCTTGCCTAGCACATGTAAGGGTGCTACCTCCAGCACACAAAAAAAAGTCATACAGGGCCGGGGATTAGGCTCAGTGGTTTCACCGCCTGGTGCGCAAGCTCAAGGACCCGAGTTCGATCCCTGGTACAAAAAAAAAAAGTCATATGGGCTGGGGAAAAAGGCTCAGTGGGATTTGCTTAGCATGTACGAGGGTCTGGGTTCAATTCTCAGCACCAAAAACCAAACCAAAACAAAAGCACTGCCTTGACACCTGCATCTTTTCTGATTTACACTCTGAGAGGTGACCACCATGGCTGAGAAAATCAAGGGTCACAGCGAGCCAATCCTTCCCAATTAGCTGGTGAAACTGGGCATGTGGCTTCCAGGGTGGGTCTGTGCCATGGTTGGAAGCAACAACTGCATCTTTACACACAGAAGCTCTTTGAACACCACCACCATCAATACAGAACACCTAGAGGGCAAAAAGGAAGTCTAAGGAATTGCGAAGCTCTTCAGACTCCACCAACCAAGGCATCTCTTCACCTCCTCGGACTCACACTCCCCTCTGACTTCAGATCTTGGTTTTATTCCCTTGTTCTCTTTTCTCATCCTGAATCAGTTCCACATTGAACATTCTACTCAGCAAATCATTCAAGTCGTCTTCCACAAACAAGACGGGTGAAAAGCAATTCTGACCTCACCCAGACACTGGCCTCTGAAAAAATCTTGCTTCCAGCTCTGCGGAGCCTACCATCCTTTCCCAGCTGTTGGAACATTAAGGCAGTGTAGGTCTGTCTGGAACAAGAGGATGAGTGAATAAAGTTTATCTCTACTAATGTCTAATTCGTTTTTTCTCCTTGGGTTCACTGGATTTTTCAAGTTGTCTGTCAAACCCTTCTGTGGCTCTTCATACATGGAAGACACTGCAGCAATACTTGACGAATGGCTCATTTAATGTTCAGCGCGGAAAAATCTTCTGTGAGATACATATGAAGAGGCTAAGTAGGTTTGCCAAGGCAACACAGCTGGAAAGTGGCTGCGCTGTGACTCGTGAGCTCTCATAAGCCAGGCTGTCTGGGTGAGTCTTTGCTCTCTGTGTACCACAGCTTTTACCACCCCCACCCCACCCCCATACACACTGGGTGGCTTAGCGAACGAGAATAATAAGAGAGGGAAGTTTTCATATGACCTTGTGGCTCCTGTCTTTTTCTGTCTCGGAAATGGGTATAAGCATTGCAGCTGGATCCTGAAGGTTGTAGGGAGGCAACTCGTAGTGACACAAGCTGGCCGCCTGAGGGGGCGCTGGCCCTGAGGGCGGAGCGAGCCTGTAAGCAGCTGTCTGGCTCGGACGCCGAGGACAAGACGCGGGGAACAGCATCGCAGAAGGCCGAGAACAAAGCCTTTCAGAGCACAGGACAAAGGCCCTGGAGCCGCAGACTGGTGGAGCGCACAGCCTCACAGCACCTGGGAGACAAAAGCAGTTTAGATTCTGTTCTGGTCAGATTGTAGAATCTTCCATCCAGGGTCTTCGAATTCCAGAATTTGGGATACAACTGATCTAAAACTCTCAGAAGCAAGACTGGCTATATAA